ATACATATATTATGTATATGAATTATGACTTTATAATTAGTTTTATAACGTAAATTCTAAATCGAATATAAAATAATTGTGTGGTTTAATTTGTAAATTTGTAAAATACATGGGTAGTACCGAAAATTAGTAAAAGTATATGTAAAGAGAATATTCCGAAAATATTCTTTTAGGTTTGAGAATGAGTTTTTTCGGTGAGGGAGTTGCTGCTTACTGTAAAATAAATTTGAGAATGAGTTTTTCGGTTGAAGTTGGTTTAAGAGTGTAATCCTTCCTACAATAAATAGAACAAATATTATACAAAACAAAAAATTATTATACATAACAAAAACACGTGAGACATGTATTAAATGAAAAATGCCTGTCACGAGATTTTGTTATCCAAAAAAACATAAACAAAACAAAAATAATATATAGAAATTAAAAGGATACATTCATGAAAGTCAGAATAATGATAGTAATATTAGTTCTAACAAACATTTGACCATATATATAAAAATAACAATATAAAGTATCATCGTCATCTCGACTTAGCCGGGTCGTCATTGATTTTTTTACCTTCTTGTTAACTTTTGTCGTCTTGGTTGTCTTCTTTTGGAGCCTCTTGGAGCTTCAATTTTTTGATATTGAAGTTTCTTTCGGACGACTTACGCTCGGGTGATTGAAAAATCGAGTAGTTAGACGAGTTTGGGACCGAGGTTAATGTAGCTTTGTCTTCACTATTGGCCGATTTAGCATCGTTTTTTCTTCGCATCGCCATGGACGAATTTGTGTAAAAAGATGTGGTTTGTTTTTGGTTATAGTGATGTTTTGGTTTTTTGTCTCGGTTGTGTTGAAGATACACACCATTGCCGAAATTTGTAACCGTTAGATCATCATGTAACTGTCGTGGATAGTTATCTAACAATTACAATCTCCAACGAAATCGTTCCATTTTTTAAATAATCATGAAACAATTAGTAAGAGGAGTAAATATCTCAATATTAGAACGTTGTTGACATATTGGGCTCGCTTTTATTTGGTGTTTTCATCTATGAGTCAATTTTGGGCTTTAAAATTTTTGTTTCAATAATATCTTTTACAAATTAATTCGTAAAAGCCCATGTATTATCAACAGCCCAAAATATTTTAGCAATTGCAAATGGACATTTTTAAATGAAAAAAAAAAAAACGTGATAATTATTTTAATAATATTTTATTTTATTTATTTATTTTAAATAATTATTCAATTTAAAAAATATATAATTAACACTTATAGTTGCTCAATAAAATTCCACAAAGTATAAATATCAAAATTTTTTAACAGAACATGAGTTTTAACAGAACTTCCAAATATCAATTTTTTAACAGAACTTCTAAATATCAAAATGCACACCAATAAACGGCAGATGACACACAGTCGATGCATTTTTCCTCTTCAGATGAAAACTACTGAACAAAGAGCAAAAACTGAGGACATACTGGTCAAGGACAAAAGAGTAATTTTAACAACACATCCTCGGTGGTCTGCAAATAATGGCACTCATCCTCGATGGTCTTGTTCTCTGGCTTACTCCGCCTGCGGTGGCCCCTTTTCCTCGGTGGCCGGCGGCGCCTCTTCCTTAGTGTCCCGCAAAGGCACCTCTGGCTCAGACGCCTTCTTCTCCTCCGACACCGCCTTCTTCTTTGCCGCCGCGGCCGCCTTCTTTTCCCTCTTCTTGGCCTCCTCCTCCTTTTTCTTCTTCTTCTCTTCTTTCTCCGCATCTTCTATCTGCGCTCGTTCAAGCGCAGTAAGGCAGGAGTGATTCTTCAACCTCTCGTAACTGCGATAGTAGTGCTCGCATTTCCAACACCAAAAGTTATCTTTCGTGAATTTTTTTTCATTCCAGTGAAATATAAATCCTCCCATCGTCTTGAACCGCTTATCGCAGTCGCCACATTTGTAGGGGCCGTCGCCGGAAGAACTGTTTTTACACTGGACACCTACTACAACCCCTGTGGCCTTGAACCGTTTTCCGTACGGACTGTTGCCGGTAGAGCTCATTTTACACTGGAAACCTACAAAATTTTTTGAAAATTAAAATTGGGCCTTAATTGGGCTTACAAAATAAATGGGCTTAAAATGTAAAATAAAAAAAATAAAAAAAAAAATCATACCAACAAACTTGTTGTGCAGTGGAAATAGCATGCATGAAACTTTGGGGCGATTGTGCAAATAAAATATTGTGCTTCCAGCTTTCTTCACTGGCATTGGTGTAAGTGTAACAACACCAGCAATCAATGCCATTGCAAATTGGGGAAATCGGAAATATAGATAAATGTGAGTACTAAGTAGCAAATAAATAGAACAAAGTAGTGGATCTTTTATAGACAAAAAATCAGCTATACATATACATACATATATATGTGTGTATATATATAAATAAAAAAAAAAGAACATTGGGTCTTGAAATAAATAAATAAATAAATAAATAAATAACTCACAAATTAGCTCCAAAAAAAAAAAAAAAAAATTGTGCTGAAATAAGCAATGTCTTGAACAGCAGATCGTGTGTATACACATATACCTATCATAGATAGAGTATATTTTGTTTTGATTAGGAAAGTATGTATATAATAACATGTCACTTTCACGTTTCACTTGTTAAAATAAATAAATAAATAAATAACAAATCTTTGTCCTTTTGCTTTGTACTTTGATTTGTATGTTAAATTATGAGACATGGGACATGGGATACCGACAAATTGTAGCTGAGGTGGATAGCCTGTGTGTGAAGAATATGGTGTGCGAGTATGGTGGCGTAGTTGGGCCTCATGATGCTTTACGAAGGCTATTCGAGATTTGCTCCACTGTGATTGGAGTGTTAGTGTTAACCATATTTATCGGGAAGCAAACTTTGCAGTTGATCATATGGCGGGCTTGGCGGCTTCATACCCGATTGGACTACATCGTTTGGTACTTCCACTTGAGGGATTAGGAGATGACAATATCGGGGTGTCGTATCCTCGTCGAGTACTAGCTTATCATCGATGCGACCTCGTTCATTGGAATACTTGCACCCAAAAAAAAATAAAAAATTATGAGACACATAAATTAAATAAATGTATTAAAGAAAGTAATAAATTAACTTCATTTATGGATAATTTTCCAAAAGTTGAGCATTAAAGAACGTAATAAGTT